CGTGCTGTCCGCTCGGCCGACCGGCTCCCGAGGGTATATATAACGACGCACAAGACACTAAATTGAGATTGACAAAGTATAGATATACAAGCAATGATCAAATTAAGGAACAGCAGAGTGAAATTACGTAATTAAAAACTGGAAATACAAATCAGTCAGAGATATCAGAATAAAAAAAAAATTTTGCAGTCTAAGAGTCTTAAACGTAGAACGGTTTTAGTTTAGTTAATTTATTATGCACCCCATACCCGTTCTGTGGGCAGTAGTGGGAAAGGTTACAGAAGCACATAATGGGCTCAGGGACTGAACCCCCACAATTAATCTAACTTAACTTGAGTTTACAAAAATCAATGCACATCGTCACATCAACAATGGGCTCGAGACTGACCAGAAGTACAGTTTCTAAATCCAGCAACTGACATATGTGGAGACAACCCGTTCTCGCCCTTTCTTACAGTCAATATTGACTTATTAAATACGTGCATATGTGACATACTAAACATGCTAGTTTACCTTGAAAAGCTTCATAGAAAACACCGACCTTACCTAACCTTCTTAGTATGTTAAGATAAGCATCTTATTGCTTCGTGTCAAACGGACTAGGCAAAGTCACTGCATTGAACTAATGATCGTCGAAAGGCGGGGCTTAAGAGCCGATGCTCGACCCCTGGAAGCACAACTAGGTGAATACAACGGTCACTGGCTCCTTGAAGTAGTAATTCGTGGTTCAGGTTAGCGTTATCTTCACTCTGGGTGAAAATCAGGTCCTGTAAACTAGGTTTACCCAACCACTTTCTTTTGTACCCTATGTGTCCCCGTGTCAATAACCCCCCCACCCCTCTCTCTTGATGATGTATCTCGGCTACAAACTGCCCAGAGTTAGACACGTGTGGCATGTATCCCAATACACAAACTACAATAATACGTATCCAAATATCCCACACAGTGTTCACTGTATCCTCTGTATCAACCTCTCTACTGTTTATTCACAGCAACATTCCCCTCTGAAACAGAATTTAATACACATGTTTGTAGTTTATTCTTTGAATAGTTTATATATAAAATATTCAGATTTACTTGCGTCAGCGATATTGAAAGAGCATATATTATCTATAGTTTCGAGAACCCAGATGCTATATATATATATATGAAATGATAAAGCTACCCATTTCATTATGTATGAGGTCAATTTTTTTATTGGAGTTATATATATATATATATATATATATATATATATAGGTTATGGCCGAAAAGTTATATATAGACAAATCAAGACTAATGTGAGCCTTATGATGAGTGATTAAGAGCCCTTATATGTGAATATTAATTTACGTCAAATACGACGTAATACGTCTTAATAGTCCTGAACACCAACGTTAAACTCGCTTGTCTCACTTACCCGCTGAGACATCAACCTTCACAGCTCACTTAAATATGAAAAAAGGCCACTTAATTACCACTTAATTAGGTTGTCGAAGACGCTTCCCCCTCCCTCCCCCCCTACCCCCCTCCCTAACCACGGACTCGTATATGACACGTATTTCCCGGTTGATTGTTTCAGCCAATCAGCGGCGGTGTTGGGCCGTCCTGAGCGGTGATTTGTCGCTGAGTTACGAGCAGCGGCTAATGAGAGAACCACTTATTAAGGACGTGCAAACAACCACGCACCTCGGCTTAAATTTAATGTCACTGTTAAGTTATACGCTGCTTCGGCCAGAGTAAATATGTATATATATGTGTGTGTATATTCCAGGGCCCGTTCACGCAATGTGTAAACAGGATTATATACTGGTAAACTGGTCAGTGAATAGCTCTCTCTCTCTCTCTCTCTCTCTCTCTCTCTCTCTCTCTCTCTCTCTCTCTCTCTCTCTCTCTCTCTCTCTCTCTCTCTCTCTCTCTCTCTCTCTCTCTCTCTCTCTCTCTCTCTCTCTCTCTCTCTCTCTCTCTCTCTCTCTCTCTCTCTCCTCTCTCTCTCTCTCTCTCTCTCTCTCTCTCTCTCTCTCTCTCTCTCTCTCTCTCTCTCTCTCTCTCTCTCTCCGTCATGTTTACTGTACTGGATCCGGCATCTTAAGGCTCGACATCCAAAGCCTCGTATCAGTCAGCTATATTACGGCCTGTTTAAACGCTTCCCCAGCATAGGACTTCAAGTCTTACAGACTACATGTGGCATCTCATTCTCTTGCTGCCACTCGCTCAGTTCATTTCCCCTAGCTGAGCAGAGGAAGGGGGGAGGGGGAATCCTGTGTTACCAGGGGACAGTAATTGCACAGGAAGGTCCTGTGCTGCTCAGGCTTGTCATCTTACCTCTACTGCTCAGGTAGAGGTAAGATGTCATCTTACCTCTACCTCTTACATCTAGGTAAGAGGTAGAGGTAAGACATCTTACCTCTAAGATGCTTACCTCTGTCATGGCTATATACAGACAGACATTTGGAACCGTCTTACAAACAACTCTTAAGATAATCAAGACGTTTGAGAGAAGAAATTACATAATAACATAAGAAATAAAAAAATGCATTCACTCCACATATACCAGCCTTGCTTCGCCTATTGGAGGACATCTCTACTCCACTACAGATTCGGCTTACCTGGAGTTTACCTCAAGATGGTCTAGAGAGTTGTCCTGATCCCCGAGCCCGGCCTGAGGTCAGGCCTCCAGAGAGCCTGGTTAAACTGTTGTTCTTTTAATTGGTTTAATTTATTTGCATTCAAAGTTAAGTATTGGAATGTATGTGGATTAATTTAGGTAGGAAATTATATACATACTAACTCCCTCTTTACCTGTTTTATCAGCCTAATTTTCTCCTCCTCCTGATATTTATCCCTTCCCCTATCCCTTCCTACGGGGTGGGGGCCTCGTAGCCTGGTGGATAGCGCGCAGGACTCGTAATTCTGTGGCGCGGGTTCGATTCCCGCACCAGGCAGAAACAAATGGGCAAAGTTTCTTTCACCCTGAATGCCCCTGTTACCTAGCAGTAAAATAGGTGCCTGGGTGTTAGTCAGCTGTCACGGGCTGCTTCCTGGGGGTGGAGGCCTGGTCGAGGACCGGGCCGCGGGGACACTAAAGCCCCGAAATCATCTCAAGATAACCTCAAGATAACCTCCCCTAATATCTTCCTATCATCAACCTACCAATCGACATATTCCCACCTACCAAAAATTCTCTCTCTCTCTCCTCTCTCAATAATTTTTTTCCTCCTTTTTCTCAGCTAATTGAGTACTTAATTGTATCCCCCGCGGCCCTACGTCATCTGCCAACCCCCGCAGTTTTCACTAATTGTATAATGTCGAAACAATTTTTATTTTCTAATGCAATGCTAAACGAGTTTCTCGGAAAACGCTAAAAACAAAATTAAATCACAAATAATACGATTATCTGTTTTTATTCTCAACTTGCGATCATCGTTGAATGTTATTGCTTATAACAGCACTTTATATATATATAATAAGGGATACTATATATAAGGGATTGGATATCCCTTTCGTTTGAACAGCAATCATGTATATATGGAATAGTTAACTGAACACTGTTATATGTACAGTGACCACATATACACCAGTGTAAATATATGGTATAAGTGTATATTGCGGTCAAAACTATATATAGTCACGTATTACTGGCTTAGCTTAGTATTTAGTGATCTTTTGTGAAATACCAGAAGTGTATGGTTGTCCATACACCTATATACTTGAAGTATATGTATATATATATATATATATATATATATATATATATATATATATATATATATATATATATATATATATATATACGGTACTATAAGTCGTAAACGATCGATCGACCGGTAATTGCTAGAACTCCCCCCCATACCCCCCTCCCCCTCCTCCCCTCCTCCCCTCCTAACCCTTAGTGAATTGTCTCCAGCTAGCATTGCCAGAAGTAAATAGAAATGACCCTCCCTTATGTGTCTAGCACATATTGTTACATATTCTTATGTACCTTGAGGTTTTGTATATATTGTATTATGAATATATGTCTAATTAGGGATAGTATGAACTAGATGTAAATATTTATGTTTTGAGCTTCTGTTATGAGAGAGGGTTGGTAGGGAAGTGAACTATGAGGAGGAAGCGCCAAGTCATTATGACTATATAGCACTTGGAAGGGGGGGGGGGATCAGGATAAGGATTTGGGATGGGACGGGGGAAAAGGAATGGTGACTTGGACGGTCGGGGGATTGAACGCCGACCTGCTTGAAGCGAGACCGGGTCTCTTAAGTGGTTGGAAGAAGGTTGGAGTGATTTGTCCAGTTGGCAACGAAGTCGTTCTCGGGCCATCATGGTCGTTAGCAGGATCGTTAGCTCTCCTGATTTCCCACAGAGACGGACATGAGACGTCTAGCCCTTGAGTTGAACTATATTGTGTTGTTAATTATTACTAAGGTGTATACTATGTACTCGGTACGGTAGAGCACTGTAGAGGTAGAGGTACGGTAGAGGTCTCACTTCAAGCAGATCGGCGTTCAATCCCCGACCTTGCAAGTGGTTGGGCACGAATCCTTCCCCTCCCTGCCCCATCCCAAATCCTTATCCTGACCCTTTCCCAGTGCTATATAGTCATAATGACTTGCCGCTTCTCCTGATAATTCCTTTCCTTCCTATAAGAGTAATGCTGTAATAATTACAATTATTACTTAACCTATCAACGGTATAGGTTAAGTAATAATTGTAATTAAGAAGCAATAAGATGCTTATCTTAACATACTAAGAAGGTTAGGTGAGGTCGGTGTTTTCTATGAAGCTTTTCAAGGTAAACTAAAATATTTACAATCAATTAGTATGTCACATATGCACTTATTAAATAAGCCAATATTGACTATACGCAAGTGCGAGAACGGGTTGTACTGTGACTCCTCGCCTGCTCTGAGAAGTAGTTTAGCGTTAATAGCGAGGGTAACATTGAAATTGATATTAAGGCCTGCAGCTGGGCCTTGAGCGTAAGGCAGAGCTCGAGAACAAAGCCAGGGAGTGGCACTTACCCTCATCTGTTTGAGCTGCGTCCGGACGTACTCCGCTCGGCTGGACTGGTCAGACCCCACCACGGTGAATGACCCCGTGTACTGGTGGACAGAAGAAAGAAACAATTAGTAGAACAACTTTTATGCACTGGAAGAAAAATATAAGTTCACTCCAGTGAACGTTACCCAAGACACATAGTAACAATTAGTGACAGTCAAATAACCAAGACGGCTACTTGTCAAGAGAAAAAAAAAAGGTTTGGAAACCAAGATGGTACAAAGAAAAACGTCTCTAACATGAGCCTGTGAACAGATTTCTTTGTTCCATGCCCCCTTGGAAACGTTATCTAACGTTATCTCACGTTATCTAACGTTATCTAACGTTTCCTTCATTCTCCAAGTTAAGTTCAAGCAGACCTCTGCATCATTAAAGCCTTCCGAAGCACTGCTTTCTCACGATCATTCATGACACATTTTTTTGTAATGAGATTTCAAAAGCAGTAAATGCTTCTCTGTGTCGCATAAGTGTACAATGTATATAAGATATTCGCTGATGTATATCTATAAGATATAGATACGGATGACGGGTCGTATCTCTGTGCCACTCCTACCAAACTTCTACTAAGTTTGTTGTACCTCGTCGCGCTCTGCTACATCCCGGAGAACGTCAGTTTGTAATTAATCGCCTCACTCTTCATTAATCGCCTCACTCTTCATTAATCACCTCACTCTTCATTAATCGCCTCACTCTTCATTAATCGCCTCACTCTTCATTAATCGCCTCACTCTTCATTAATCGCCTCACTCTTCATTAATCGCCTCTCTCTACATTAATCGCCTCACTCTTCATTAATCGCTTCACTCTTCATTAACCGCCTCACTCTTCATTAATCGCCTCACTCTTCATTAATCGCTTCACTCTTCATTAATCGCCTCACTCTTCATTAATCGCCTCACTCTTCATTAATCGCCTCACTCTACATTAATCGCCTCACTCTACATTAATCGCCTCACTCTACATTAATCGCCTCACTCTACATTAATCGCCTCACTCTTCATTAATCGCCTCACTCTACATTAATCGCCTCACTCTACATTAATCGCCTCACTCTACATTAATCGCCTCACTCTACATTAATCGCCTCACTCTACATTAATCGCCTCACTCTTCATTATAAATTGGCGAAAATTTGGTCATAGAAGCACACAGCTGGTCCGAGCCATATCACAGAGGGAAGCATAGCGTCCAACAATCTCATTTAATTTCAAATCCCCTCAGACACTGAAGCGATTAGAATGTAACTGATTCTTGCGGTTGTACTTGGCTGGCCCCACACGGCACAATCACTCGGGGGTCCTTCGCCAGGTTTCCTTCTTCAGTTCCTCAGACACCGGTATCCGAACAGCGATGACAATCGACTTGAGAATGGTCCAGGACGGACCAAAACGACGTTGATAGTCCAGTACGGACCGAAACGACGTTGATAGTCCAGGACGGACCGAAACATCATCGTCTCTTCACTTTCTAGCGTGTGGGGTTTGGTCAGTAATGACAACTCCTCCGGTGTTATCTGGCCTTGTTCCTTGTTGTACAAGACTGCATACGTTCGGAAAAGTGAAAGAAAAACGGCTTAACTGAGGAGGTATCAACCTCAGCATCTTCAGCCTTCAATGTCCTGCGGGTCATTGGCGCCGCCTGCCTCCCTCGCGGAGTGCCTTCCAATTTAGCAGCTTAATTAAGCTGCTAAAATGGAGGCGTGGTCGAGGACCGGGCCGCGGAGACGCTAAGCCCCGAAATCATCTCAAGATAACCTCAAGATGGTGGTATAGTATTACACCTCCAAGTGATGCTCAGACGGGTTCAACCTTTGGAACGTTCTAAGTAACAAACAAATTCTACTAGTCATATTTTGGCCGTACTAGGCTAAAACCCTGGAAACACAAACCGAAACTGTCTCTATTTTCCGCTTGTTACAACTTGTAATAAAGTTGTTACATCTTGGCTTAACGTGTTTATGACGTATTAGAACGTTGTTACAACTTGCTATATTGGTTGTTATAACTGGTTAGGTGGTGTTAAAACTTGTCCGAACGTTGTACCAACGTCGTAGTTTCGGTGTGTGTGTTTGGCGGGTTCCTATTAATGAAGTCTAATGAAGCCTTAATGAAGTCATCCGCCACATCGTTTCTGATTGCGGCGTTCCGTAGTGCCCTTCTCTGGAATTCATCATGTAATCAGAGCCTCGCGTCGATTTGAAATTAGAAATGTCAACAAATTTGAAATTTTGTAGGATAAAATTACATATCCACATATCCACTCTTTATAACCCTACAAGACTGACTTTCTACCCATCTTAACACAAATAAATTAACGATCGTTGTATAACCTAAAATATACGACTTGATGGCAAGGAATAAAAATTATTATTTCAGTATTTACAATAATGAATATGGATATGAATATGCAATATGAGTGAATATGCAATATGAGTAACAGAATTAGGGATATGCAGGCGATGAGTCACAATAACGTGGCTGAAGTATGTTGACCAGACCACACACTAGAAATTGAAGGGACGACGACGTTTCGGTCCGTCCTGGACCATTCTCAAGTCGATGAGTCACAATCGACTTGAGAATGGTCCAGGACGGACCGAAACGTCGTCGTCCCTTCAATTTCTAGTGTGTGGTCTGGTCAACAGAATTAGGGATATGTTGTCCACAGCATTTCGATACAAACTGCACACACCTGCAGTGTGTGCAGGTGTGCGCAGCTAGGGGGGGGGGGAAGGGGCCGAGGCGTCAAACAAGAATGGTACAAGGAGTGAATTCAACCACCAAACAAGTACACAAGTATGTGGTACAAGAAGCCAAGTACAATACTAGTAAAGCAAACATTTTTCCAAGGAGATCAAAATAAAATTGCAGCATGTTCCCCTCTTAACGGTTATGTATAAATAAAATCACAATTATAATAATAGATTATATAGATTATGCATTAAACAATTTTAAATTATCTTATTTGTTCTGTAGTGCTTACTTGTCATTTTCAAGTTGTCGGCAGAATCTTCATTACTGTCTAATTTGATGTAGGTTTATATTCACAAGTTTGACCAAAGACAAATATACATTTCAGTACCATATAACATACTGCACTGAAACGTAAGACTGATAATATTATATCACCTGGCATACTATTACTAGTGATATAGGCAATCTTGAAGCTAGCTTCCATTACATTCAGAGCTTGTAAATACCCACCAAACACACACCGAAACTACGACGTTGGTACAACGTTCGAACAAGGTTTAACACCTCCTAACCAGTTATAACAACCAATATAGCACGTTGTAACAACGTTCTAATACGTCATAAACACGTTAAGCCAAGATGTAACAACTTTATTACAAGTTGTAACAAGCGGAAAATAGAGACAGTTTCGGTTTGTGTTTCCAGGGTCTCCATTGAGTTTGTGTTTAAATTACAAAAAAAATACCTTTCTTGAATCATTCTTTGGAGATTAATTCCGGATATTTATCACTGGGGTTTGTATATATGATTAAAATTGTCCTTATTTACAAACTACAATACTTTCTTAAGCAAGCAATCATACTGCTTAAGTAAGGGGAGACATCTCCCGTCACGCAGGGTGCAGTCGCACCTCCACAGATCTCCAGTATCATCTATTGATACTGGAAATGGCTCAAAAGGGCCACCACTTACGGGCTATTTATGCCCGTGCCACCTTTTGGGTGGCTTAATCTTCTCTCTCTCTCTCTCTGCTTAAGCACCACTTTGTTCAAAGAAGTTATCTGTCGCTCAAGCTTTAATAAAACATCGTTCTTCCTCCATCTACTTATCTATCTTTGCAATTCCCAATGTTCTCTGTCGCACTCTGATGCCACAAATTTACAACAGTCCAAATAAAGGCGATACAAAATGGTTCCGTGCACGGGCCACGGGCGCCGTGCTCCCTCCACCACAACCAAGAGGCAACTGATGGAGCTGGGGCGTCGCTCTGGTAAACAGCTGTGTACAATGACGTAAGAATTGTAGGCTACCCTCAAATAGATTTTTTTAAGTGTTTTTTGTGTTCTTTTTTAAGGGGCGCCTGACAGCTGAGTGGACAACGCTTCGGTTTCGTAGTCATGAGGTTCCGGGTTCGATCCCCGGTGGAGGCAGAGACAAATGGGGCAAACAAGTTTCTTTCACCCTGATGCACCTGTTCACCTAGCAGTAAATTAGGTACCTGGGAGTAAGACAGCTGCTATGGGCTGCTTCCTGGTAGTGTGTAACCAAAAAAAGGAGGCCTGGTCGAGGACCGGGCCGCGGGGACGCTAAGCCACGAAATCATCTCAAGATAGCCTCAAGATACCAAAGCTTAAGTTATTACTCTGATACGAGACTTATAATACAACATTGGTATGGGCTTCACTTCTAGTATTTTGTAAGACATACATGAATAACTAACTGTATCATTACATTGTATGGTAATCTCTCAATTCAAGGAACAATAATACATCACCAATTAGGTAATAGATCTATATATTTTTTTTTTTTTGAGATATATACAAGAGTTGTTACATTCTTGTACAGCCACTAGTACGCGTAGCGTTTCGGGCAAGTCCTTAATCCTATGGTCCCTGGAATACGATCCCCTGCCGCGAAGAATCGTTTTTTCATCCAAGTACACATTTTACTGTTGCGTTAAACAGAGGCTACAGTTAAGGAATTGCGCCCAGTAAATCCTCCCCGGCCAGGATACGAACCCATGACATAGCGCTCGCGGAACGCCAGGCGAGTGTCTTACCACTGCACCACGGAGACTGCAAATTGGTGGTATATATATAATTAATATAATTGGTGATGTATGATTATATTATTTCTGTATTAAATTAATAATATTTAATATTACAAATTATTAATAATAATATTTAATAATATTACAAATTATTAATAATAATATTTAATAATATTACAAATTATTAATAATAATATTTAATAATATTACAAATTATTAATAATAATATTTAATAATATTACAAATTATTAATAATAATATTTAATAATATTACAAATTATTAATAATATATTTAATAATA